CCCGCACTCCTTCCCTGCCGGGCCCCCCCCAGCCCTTCTCCCTCCCCCCCACTTACCTGCAGTTCTGGTGCAGGACAGCCACGTGCTCCCAGGAGAGAAGCCCCGGCTGAGGGCGGGGTGGGCCCCACTGTTGTTGAAGCCCACCAGGCTTCCCCTGGGCCCTACTGCCCTTGGTTCCTGTCATTTTTGACAGGAACCAAGGGCAGAGGAATATTAATTTTCTATATTTTTTAGGGGCCCCATGGGCTGGACAGAATGGCTTTGCGGGCTGGATCCGGCCCATGGGCCGTATTTTGCCCACCCCTGTGCTATAATATGCTCTATAAAGCAAGTCGTAAAGCATTCTCTAACTGTCAGAGATCCCTGGTTTTACATCTGCTGGTAGCTCCCTCAGGCTGTGGGAGCTCTCGGTTGACAAAATCCATCTGCTTTCCAGCCCCTTTATGCTCCTAATGCATGAGGGACTCTGCTGCTAATAATTCTTAGAAACTTACTGGCACAGTATAATCTCCACTCACTTAGAACACCACAGCAGATTTGCTAAGGTACACGCTGCATTTGGGCACAGATCTAAAAGTAGCTTGATCAGTGAGAGTGTCTTCTTGCAATGACTCTCCTTCTGCCTGAAGAAGGGTGTTTGTACCCAAAAGCTTGCAGAGAGCAATTTTTCCGACTATTTAGTTGGTTTAATACAAGATATCACATTTACCCAAAAAACCTCTTTTTGCAATGAGAAATTTACATATTATCTTAACACTTTTGAAACTAAGTCAAGCCACTTCTTTCTGAGAACTGAGGTGTCTTCCAGCCGCCAGTGAAGGGCTCGGGATTGATTGAGAGTGTGGTCGGGGAGTAGAAAGGTAAGAAAGGTTTATTGACTTAACAAAAACACAGCTACGTGTAGTAACAAGACAAACAATGACAGACAAGAATAATTTGTGTTGGCAACTTATTGGAAGTCCCCTCTGATGCCTGATGCACAACAAGTTTCTCTTTTGCAAAGCTCAGCGAAGTCAGGTGTCCCCGATCAGTGCTGTCTGCAGGGTACCAGGAAGGACCCTGGTATTCAGTCTTTGGGCTCCTCGAGGTCCACGGGGCCACTGATCCAGGCCAGCAGCTAATCTTAAATTAGTATTTTTTTACAGAGCTACATCTTCCTTCTGAATGATTTCCGAATGTGCCAGCCCATTTATAATTTTTGGGCTTTGCTGATAAGTTACAGCCATTCAGATTCTTTTTACTTCAACTGTCCTTAGACTGACCAATAGCAGTACAAACTTTGCATTCCTGTGTGAATGTTAATTTTAACTACGCCACAGGGCCTTACTACTTCAAGGCTTTGCTAAATTTACTAGGCTTTACTTTATGCAAGGCCTTACTACATTTTACATTTTAATTAGGCTCTTAGCAACAACATATAGCTTAATATCTAAACAAATGTTAGAAAAACACTTGGTCTAATCTTCATAGAGCCTTCAGCAAGCACCTTTATCACACAGACATAATTTTTAGCTGTCACAAGGTGATACAGCACAGTGGATATCTCCATATACTTTAAACTAAAGACTGATTAAATGTTTCCTTGACTACCCCTTCAGCTTCTCAGATTTTGTGATATATTTTAAATTTTTGATTTTGAGAGTATGGTGACTGGAAAAAATGTTTTCTGCTTTTGGGGTTTTGCCATTAGAAGGATTTTTTTTCCTTCATGTGTGATAGAGCAATCTTGATTAACCCTGCTTTCCTAAAAAAACCCCCGTCTTTATGGCAGTCCCCATAGATTGCGGAGAAAAATGAATTAAAAAAAAATCAAGATCAAGATTGGTGAATGTCGTGCCCAAATAGGTACCTAAATTCTACCTGAGCCCTAACATCTCAAAGGGGATTTAGAATACCTCCACTCCAGCAGCCACAACACTTGTTTGGTACCTCTGTTCTTTTGGTGTCTTCATTTTAAACTGTAGTGTTCCTTATACCTCAAGCTCCATTTCTATCCAGACATGAGGTGGAACAGTGCCTAAACCAGTGATTCGCAGCAAAGGTGCCATGAGACTCTTAAGGATGTTACAAGGTGCTGCATAGTATTAGCGCTGTTCGGTGTGCAAACACCTACACCGGTTCACAAGATAAACCCAGAGATTTCAATAGAAATCCATAGTGTCAAAAACCATTCTGACCTCTTGCAACAACCAGAAGAATTGCTCTGTTTACTTTTCTGTAGTCTAAAAACAAGTGAAATCTCTAAGCTGACATTTTCTGAGTGGTGCCTTGAGTCTGAGAACCGCAGGCACAGACTTGTAAATCCCTGGGAGGTCCAGTACACAGACTCTGATAGTGCCTTACACACACTAATAGCATTGGGTTTAGTAGAGAGTTGTAACAGGGTCTGTCCTGGGGCAGCTGTGTTACAGATCCCTTGGTAGATGCACTATACCCATTCTCCTCCTCTTGCTCCCCCAGTATAGCTTTGCCCTGATGTAAAAGTGAATATATTTAGGAGGCTGCCTTCAGAACCAGAGTTCACCTTCAGTGCCTTTTCCATCTTGCTCATTTTCAGGTTTCCAGCTGGCTCAATGCTCACACCCAGATCTGAGCAGTACTCCCTCTTACTCTGGCCAGAGCTTACAGTCTATACGCACACAGTCTTCACCCTTCTGTACAGTTCTCCAGGTGCTCACCCTTGCCTGTCCCCAACAGGCACCTTTGAGAGTCCCTGCCCCTCTAGGCCCTTGTCCTTGGCTGTCCACAATAGGCTGCCTTTTGGGGCACCTGCCCATCAAGGCACTACTTGGGGTACTAGCTCTTGTCTCTGCAGTCCAGGCCCATAGCCTTGTCTGAGTATGCCAGGCCCCAAGCCTGCAGCTTGAGACACGAGAGTGGCTCTGGTATCTGCTGCTCTCTCACTGCACTGAGCCCCCAACCCTGCCTCACTGTACTGAGCTCCAAAATGTGGGAATCCCTTACTGGCACCCATTAGGACAGCACCCTTCCTAGGGCACTCCTTCATGGTCTCCAGCCTCCCCTTTAGTCACTCCCAAGCCTTACAGATATAGTACAAACCCCAAAGGAAACAACTATAGCATGCAAACTGCTTATTGCTATGAGACTTTGCAACAGAGCAAAATGCATTTGCATTTTTTTAAATCTAAAGTTTGTCTAATAATAAACAGCCTCACAGTTCAGGGACTAGGGATCACTAGCACAGTTCTGCCCCCTTTCACAGTTTGTAGGAAGGGTCTAATATGCAGCCTTGAGTCAGGTGACTGAGCACCAGTGATACGGGAGTTCAGAACAAGCCTGCCCTTAGTGCGCCTTATTGGATAGTTCTGGGCAGCAACCTGTTCAGCATTCAGGCTCTTTGAACTGGTTTTTGGAACTGTCTTATTCCTCGCCATTGCTTGTATAGGAGGGAATTGAAATGTTGAACTCTGTTTCTTTGAATCACCCTTCTGGGGCCAGATATCTGATTGTTAGGTGTGTTGAAGCTTGAGTTTGTAGACTCAGTTGGTGCATGGCCAGGTGAGGTCACAGGCTTGATTTTAAAAAAAACCAAAATGAGGGGTGGAGGGGTTTCTACTTCCACTGGTCAGAGGGAGCCAAATGAGTTACTTCCAGATTTTTCTCTTAGTGCAAAGCACTAGTAGAAAGACGTGTGAATGGTTTTGTAATTAGAAAAAGGCCAGAAACTAGTGCCGTTGTCTACAGAATAGTAACTTGTTTTTTTCCAGACTTACCAGTATGACAGGTACATATGAAGGTGTTAATTCGTGGGCAGTTAGATTGATGGTCCCTCTTTCTGTGCTTGCACTTTAGTTTTTACTAATCTTTATATGTAACCATAATTCAGTGCTCAGCAAGAATGATAGTTTCTCACAGTAGCTTCATGAATAAGTTATGGCAGGGCAGAATGTAGGGCATTTCTTGATGGCTCTGGTTTATGCCTTATTACAGGTCTTTCAGGACATGTCATTGCAAAATATGCTGTAATAACTGAGAAACTGTCCACATAAACTGTCTGCATATTTAAGTCTGAGTTTATCATACGTTTTTATTGCATGGGGTTTTCAGTTTTGTCTTTTATTTATTTTGCTATTAGCCCAGGTCTTGGATTTACTGTTTTTCATACAACTGTCTCAGTTTGTACGTACTGTTTGTTTCTTTTTCTTGAATGCTTCACTTTACATCTATAGATAGTGAACAGTCTTGTAGTAAGTGAGATCACTGTTCTATTATCTCACCTGCACTTTCAATATATCTAGGCTGTTGCCAATAAATAATATCACAGCTGATACTAGTTTTAAAAAATATTGTACAAGCTTACATGGTCTTTCAGCATTTGATATCTTGTGATAATAAAGCTATGTGGCCAGCTTAACAAAACACAGCCATTACTTAAAATTAACAAATTATTTTAAAAAGATGAGAGGAGGAGACCCTTTGGGATCAAAGTATGAACCAAATTGTAGTGTTGGCCATTACCTTTTGAAATAAAAAAAGTGTTTCTCTTTAATTACCTTTTCCCATGGTTTTGGATGTGCTGCTCAATTTTGAGAATGCAATAACCATCACCTTTATTACATGCTTCGGCAGCCCTAGGCACCTGGTATTTTTCACACCTTAATTTGACAGTTTGCTGTTGTCTAGGCTTTCTTGCCAAGCTTTCCCCTCCTTCCCTCCAGATATTCAATTACTAAAGGGATCAAAGAGATTGATCAAAATAAGCTATTATGTGCATTCATAAACACAAGAACAGGAGAAATTTCTCAATTGGGAATGACATGTAAAGGGCTGTTAAGCTAGAGCTCCTTGACGAACTAAGTGGGACAAAATGTTTGGTGCTCCAAATCTGACTTTGCTGTTGTTGGTGTTTGTCTTTTAGGTATATGCGAGGTCGTCTAACATATGATCAAATAAATGGAGTTATTGAAGATATGAACAGGGCTGTGATAAGCAAGTATAAGATCCTACATCAGCCAGTAAAATCAATGAACTCTGCGGCCAGAAGTCTATACAACAGATTTTTAGAAGAAGAAACAAAAGATACTAAAGGTATTTTTTAAATGTATGTATGTAGTGCTTATTGTCATAGCATCTGGATGAGAAATAAAACTAGCAGAGAACGAAAACTAATGAGCAGGATTTTTAACATGGCTAGTGATGTGACAAACTTCCATTCTCATTGTCTAAATTGAGACACCTTAAGGGAGTTTTAGGCTGTGTACACACATTCAAGTGATCTGGGAGAATTCCTGGTAGGAAAACTTACCTGGAGATAGAACCTGAACAGACTTTCAAATGCTGAGCCCCTGAAGAGCAGAGAGCTTGTAGTGCTGAGCTTGTATAGCCAGGGGGCCGCTCTGTACATATCTCAGCCTTTTCTACAGGCTCCCTTGCTCTGCCTGGAGACAAATGGCAGCAGTGTACAGGGCAGGCCTGATTTGCTCATTCAGCCTGTATCTCCCTTTCGCACAATGTGGGATTGTGAAGGGAACTTGTTCTGATCCCTCCTCAGCTAGAACATAGTTCAGTCAGTGACATATTGTCCCCCTGGAGGGAGATGGGGTTAAGGGAGCAAAGCACACTCTGGGGACTGTGCTGTGGTCTTTCTCAGTAGAGAATGGGCATTTTTACATGTGCAAGCACCGCAGTGCCAGTCGCTTTGAAAAGCGCCTGGCACTGAAATGCTTGCAGTTGTATAAGCGATGAAATGTGTGGCAGTGCTGAGAAAATGGCGGCAGTGCGCTTTTGAACTAAAACATGTAGACGGTGCTTTAGTTCAAAAGCACACTGCCGCCATTTTCTGCACGCTGATGCGCATTTTGCCTATTATACAACTGCATATGATGCAGTGCAGTGCAAAGTCCGAAGCAGCGCATCTCCGGCGCATTGTGGGACAAAAAAGTATGTGTACAAATGCCCAATGCGTACAGATGCTCGCTGTCTGAGAAACTCTCCTGGGAATGATCTAACTCTGGTTGTTCCTGGATTATTTTTTTCCTGGCACAGACATTTTTGTTCTGGGAGAAAAATCTTGAGCTTCCTGTGCGCTCTCCCAGGAGAAACTCATTATCTACACTAGCATTTATTTTCAGAAGGTGGTTGCTCAGCTGTTTCTTAAAATCGAACCCTTCTAAGATGCTTCAGTTTGGGCACCCACAAATTTAGGCACTCAACATTTCTACTCATTCTTTAAAAAAACACAGAATGTTGACAACATGCCATAAAGATGTCTCAGATGGAAAATGTTTAATTACCTAACAATAGATATGCTGAGATGGTGTCCTGTGCATCAACATTCATCATAGTTGGGCTCTGACCAGCTTAGCAGCCGTCGGGTAAAGGAGTTCGGCTGATAATGTCTTGCTGGAGAGTCTCTGGCAATGTAATTCTTGTTTCAGTACACAGGGGAGAATTATGTGCTATGTGAGTAATAAGGGGATCTCTGTATTAACTGGGTCCTAGTTAAGGACTTTAAATTTGTAATAAATACTTGTTTAACATCCGCTACTGAATAAATAGCCAGCACAGAACCAAAGTTTTGTGGGCACAGCCACCCATCCCACTTATGTGATCCCCTGTCTAAATCACCAGCTGAAGATCTAGAGTCTTCTGGGTTAGTAATACAGCTTGAAGGTTTGACAAAGCTCTAGATGAGAGAGGTACGGTCTGTGTCTAAAGAGACAGGGCATTTCCTGACTAACATTAAGTGAAAACTGCCTATGCCAGCTACTGCAGCTACAGTATCTGGGCAACTAGACACAGGCATGGGTCAGGTGTTTGTCACAGTATCTATAGCAATGAATTAAAGGCAGACATTGTTCATTTGGTTATTGAAAAATAAACAGCTGCACTTCTGTCTTGCCATGCTGTGTGATGTCCTTGGCTGAATAACCATTTAATCTTGTTGCTTTAACTCTTGATCTTCTCTCTCTTTTCCAATAGTTTTCTTATTCATTGGTTATATCAGAGTTTGGGCCTTATATTATACGCTCTTTGGGGCCAGAGCTGTACAACTCTGTTGGTATTGGGCACTGCCTGCTGGACTTCTGGATAAAATGGAGATTAGTGTTTTGGTTGGACAGCTTCCCATTTCCACTTTCCTATAAACAACTTCCAGTGAAAACAGATATAGTGACAGGGGCATTTCCATTTTCATCTCATGCTGTAGAAATTGATAGTCCTGGGGAATATTGAGATTTGATTTAGAATTTGATGTATAAATTTGTCACTATAGTATGGCTAATTTAATATTAAAACTGTCTTCCATCTATATAAAAACAAAAAATCTATTTTAAATTCGAATGGACGGGGCCACAAAACTCAAATGTGGTACTAAACTCAGGTGTATCATCAGTCAGAACGCAACAGCTAAAAGGCCCTGGGCTTCCACATGACTTTAAAATACAACCTTCTGCTGTGTTGAACTCAAAGAGCTAAAATGAAGCAAAATGTCTGCATAGCTCAATAGCCAGATGGGAGACTTCAATTTTCCAGACATCTGCTGGCAGAACAATGCAGCCAAACATAAAATGTCAAGCTCGTTCCTATCTTGTGTAGAAGACAACTTTCTCTTCCAGAAAGTGGAGGATACAACTAGGAAATCATCTATCTCGGATCTTGTCCTGACCAGCAGGGAAGAACTGGTGGAGGGTGCGAAGGTGCTGGGTAACTTTGGGGGAAGTGATCATGATATGCTAGAATTCCAGATCTTGAGACAGGAAAAGCATGAGGTCAGTAAAATTAGGACGCTAGATTTCAAAAAGGCAGCTTTCATTTGACTCAAGGAGCTAATAGGCATGGTGTCATGGGAGGATAGATTAAAGGATAAAGGCATGTAGGCAGGCTGGGAGCTTCTGAGGGGCACAGCATTGGAAGCCCAACACAAAGCTGTCCTAACGTGATGGAAGTGCAGGAAGAATGGCAAGAGATCAATGTGGCTGCACAAGATACTTCTAAAATGCCTCAATTGCAAAAGGAAAGCATACAGGAAGTGGAAGAATGGGCAGGTCATCAAGGACGTGTACCAGGAAATAGCAAGAAATGTGCAGGGACAAAGTCAGGAAGGAAAAGATAAAGAATGAGCTGCACCTGGCAAAGGAGGCTAAGGACAGCAAGAAGAGGCTGTATAAATATGCTGACCAGAAAAGAGGGACCAAGGAAGCTGTTGGTCCTTTGTTAACAAGCCAGGGGGAACTCCTAACCGAGGATACAAAGAAGGTGGAGCTGTTCAGCAGCTTCTTTGCCTCAGTCTTCACAAAAAATTAACTAGCCAGTTACCGAATAGAGGTTATCTGCATGAGGAAGGGGGTAAACTGAGGGAGGAGATAACAAAAGACACAGTCAGAGAGCTTTTGTTGGGTGTGCATGAATTCAAGTCAACAGGGCTGGATGAGCTTCATCCCAGGGTTAGAGGATTTCTCAGAGCCCTTGGCAATGACCTTCATGAAGTTGTGGGAGACGGGCCAGGTAACAGAGGATTGGAAAATGGCCAATGTAATGCCCCTCTTTAAACAAGGCAAGGAGGAGGACACGGGGAACTACAGACCCGTTAGCCTCACCTCAGCACCTGGGAAGTCACTGGAACATATCCTAAGGAAGGCCATTTGCAAGCATCTGGAGGAGGAAAGGGTGATTGCAAGCAGCCAGGTAGATTTATGAAAAACAAATAGAGCCAAACAAACCTGGTCTTCTTCTTTGATAAAGTAACTACTTGGGTGGATGAAGGGGATGCTGCAGATATAGTGCATCTGGACTTCAGCAAGGCTTTTGACAAGGTCATACATGACCTCAAACAAATTGAACGAATGTAGGCTAGAAAAAACTACTACAGTACAAGTTATCTGGCTCAATAGTCATAAGCAAAGGGTAATTATTAATGGGCCCAGAATGGCAGGAGGTTTCAAGTGGAGTCCCACAGAGATCCATCTTAGGCCTGGTGCTGTTCAACGTGTTTATTAATGATTTGGATGCAGGCATAGAAAGCTTCTTGAGCAACTTTGTGGATGACGTGAAACTGGGAAGGATTGTGAACGTGTTGGAGAACGAGCGTACAATTCAGAAGGATCTCAACAGGTTGGAAAGTTTGGGCTAGAGCTAACCAGATGAAGTTCAGTGCAGACAAATGCAAGATGCTGCACCATGGGAGGAATAATAAAAAATACAAAATGGGGGACACCTGGCTGGAAGGCAGCTCTATGGAAAAGGACTTGGGTGTCTTGGTAGACCGCAGACTTGATATAAGTCTGCAATGTGATGCAGCCACTCAAGATTAGTGCGGTTTTAGGCTGCATCAATAGAAGCATTAGGTGCAAGACACGGGAAGTGATAGTGCTTCTCTACTCGCACTGGTTCAGCCTCATTTGGAGTACTGTGTGCAGTTCTGGGCTCCACATTTTAAAAAGGATGTGGAAAAGTTAGAGAGGGTCCAAAGGCAGGAAACAAAGATGATCAAGGGCTTGGAAGACAAGTCATATGAGGAGAGGCTGAAGGAGCTAGGCATGTTCAGCTTGCCAATAAGAGGAGACATGATAATAATCTTCAAATACTTGAAAGGCTGCCATAAAGAAGAGGAAAAGCACCTTCTCTCTTTTGCTGTGGTGGATGTGAATCAGTGGCTTGAAGTTGTAGCAAAGTAAATTTATATCTGGTAACATGAAAAAAAACTTCACTGTGAGAATAGTGAGGTAGTGGAATGGATTGCCTAGGGAGGTTGTGGATTCCCCATCACTGGAGGTGCTCAAGAAGAGATTGGACAGTCATTGTTTGGGGATGAACTAGGCGTAGCTCTGCCTATTTTCTACCGTGGGCGTTTCCCATGGTTTTTGGGCTTTGCTGGGTCCTTCTGCCCACTCCTCCCTTTTTTTCTGCTATGTGTGTCAGAGTGTTTTTAAGCATCCCTTGAAGCATTGGGTGTTGGGTACAGCTAAGGCTGGGGACTTCAGCTGGGCTGTGCCAGTTCTCCTGCTTGGAGCAAAGCCAGGGGTTCTTGGCTAGAGGGTCTTGCCCTCTGCTCAGGGTTAGGCCAATTGCCATATTTGGAGTCAGGAGGGAATTTTAGCCTACTATGGTCAGATTTCTAAACTGTGGTCAGACTGCGGGGCAAGGATAGGGGAGGAGGTCGGCCTTCCTCTGTAGTGGGGGCATGGCCTTCTACCCAGGACTTCTTGAGCATTATTAACTTTTTATAGAAGCAGAGTATCAGCTGCTGTGGTTACCTTGCTTTATCTGTGACAGGTTTGGGTGTTTTTTTCATAGACATTTGGGCTGGAAGGAACCCCGAAGGATCATTGAGTCCAGTCCCCTGCCCCAGGGGCAGGAAGTCAGCAGGGATCATAGGATCCCAGCAAGATAAGCATCCAAATGTGTCTTGGAGGCATTCAAAGTGGGTGCTTGAATCGCCTCCTGTGGCAGTCTATTCCAAACCATGGGGGCTCGGACAGTAAAGAAGTTCTTTCTTATGTCCAGCCTGAATCGGTCACAGTGGAGTTT